TTGTTTATCAGGGCACGGTCCCTCCCCTTTCATACAAATATTTCATAATACAGTGGTCCCCCGTTTTTCGTAGTTCTCGAAATTTCGAAAATTTTCGCCAATCATGGGGGTATTTTCGTATAAACGTGGACTTGCTTTTCATAGGTTTGACTCGTGACCGTATTCTCCGGGACGGTCCCCCGGGGCTTGAGCCTTGGGGGCAGCCAGTCTGGCATTGTTTACCAGTAGCAAAGGTCCCCTCACATGCCCCCACAAAATATTTCATAATTTTCCCATTTTTTTAGTGCTTGCAAGTCTAAATAACTCCCTGGCCCCAAAAGAAACTCCTAGTGCCAGCCTGTGGTAAAAAAGGGTGAGAAATATGATTGAATTTAAAAAAACCTCATTAAAATATGAAAGTGGTACAAGTGGGGCCGAACTGTCCGGAAATTATAAAAACCCACACAACTTTATGTTCCATGGGCCAAGAAAAAGGAAATAAAGGACGCTTTGTTGAAAAGGGATAACTATGCTGAAAAAAAAAAAAGATCACCATACCAAAGAAGTTGAAAGTTATTTTTGGTGTGGATAAAGGAAAAAATTAGCGAGATACTCTTATGCCTTTCGATTATTTGTAAAAAGGGCTAGGCAGTTGCATGAAGTTTGGTAAGAAATTGCTGAAAATAGGGGGTGATGTGAGTGAATTTAAGGCCGAAAAGGCTGGTTTAAAAGATTTAAAAGCGTACTGGCAAACAGTGTGGAAGGCATGGTGAGGCTGCCATTGGACCACAAGGCGGCTGAAAAATATGTGCATAAATTTCCCAGGAGAAAATGAGGCTGAGGACTGAAACCAAACAAGTGTTAAATTGTACGAAACGGCCTTTTTTGGGAAAAAAAAATCCCAAAAGAGGACCTTCATTCACAAGGGAAAAAGGCATTGCCACGACACAAGCCTATGAAAGACGGGCAGTGCAATTTTCTGTGCAAAGCTAGTGGGGATTTAAAAGGGAAAGCCTTTACTAGGTACATTTCAGAAAATCCAATGTCAGGAAAAACAATGTTATGAAGAGTAAATTTGTTTTTTTTTTGGAAAATCTAATAAAAGGTTGGGTAGAGGGAAATTTTCGTCGGTGGTTCAATAAGTGTTTGGCCCTGTGTGAAGGAAAACCCCTGGAAAAGAAATTGAATCTAAAGTGCCTGCTAGTAAAGGACAATGCCCCTGCTACCCCTCCAAACTTGGATGACCTAATTTTTGAGGAGTTTGGGTTCTCACAGTAAAGTTTTCCCCCAAACCAATCCCCTCCAGCCCAGGACCACAGGTCATTGCAAATTTTAAAAAAAAACTCTACACAAAAGCAATGTTTCACAGGTGCTTGACGTGACTCAGACATACTTGACCCTAAGGGGAAATTTTTGGGGGGAGAACACTTCACACCTCCATTGCATAACCCTTTTAGGATGGTTGGAGGGGGGGATTCCAGGACTTAGAACTCTGCGTGGAGAAAATTGTGGCCAGATTGTTCACAAGAGGGATTTTGAAGGGGGTTTGGGGGCTGACCCTGATGAGCCTATTCTGTTGTAAAATCAATTGTGGCACTGGGAGTTCCATGGGGGTTTAAATTTGGGTTTTGGGGGATTGGAAGAATTGGTGGAAATACAACGAAGACTCACCATGAGGAGCTGCAAGAGCTTTAGCAGGAAGAGCAACCATGCGTCAAATCTTGTGCAAGGAAAGGAAGAGGATGGGGAAAAAGGTGCCTTCTTCAG